CTCAGATGTTTTTAGGAAGACAAAAGCGTTTGTATAAATCCCGACTTTCAAGCTGACTCTTGGCATTGTTTGTTAGGTAGTTCTAAGTAACATTTCAGGACTTTACTGCAGACAAAGCAGGGAGATAACAAATTGACCCTATGCTGAAGATACATTGTGTCCCAATTGCCATACAGTTTTTAAACACTTGTAAAAACAACTTAAACAAATGTTTTGTACAGGCAAGGAAAAGGCCCTCTGGCTCTGCATGGCCTATAAGCTTGAATGCATGTTAAAATAGTTCATTGAATCTTTGAAAGGTGTATTTATTTAAAAAAATAAGCACACTCACACTTTACTCAAAATTTAAAAAAAAAGATACATTTATAAGATAAAGATAGACACTTACAGTCAAAGGAAAGACACAGGGACTCTTACCATGCACAAACATATAGTGAAGATACAAATAGAAAAAAAAAATCTGCTAGAACAGAAACGGACTTGCTAACACAACAGTCAAAACATCAAGCTCACAGTAGCATGAGGATAACAGAGTGAAAAGCACTATGAACAAATATTTCATTTCTATAGTTAGCAGATACGTAGTTAACAAATTAAGATACCCAGTGAAGCGAACACCGCTGATAGATTTTTTTTTCCTCTCTGATCTGTAACACTTTCTGGACTAAATATATATTAACATGCATTTATGCATCCTCACAAAGATTACTATAAGAAGAACAAGCAAAAAGTAGGGCTGTGCTAACAAGCACACACTTCCTGTGTTCTACTGAACTGTCAGCATTAAATAGTCAATATGAGCATGGACCAGCAAACTAGACCCTACTTTGTTGGTTTCAACAGCAAAGCTGGTAGACTAAGTGTCTTTACAACTAGCAACAAAGGAGGAGACAAAGCCATATTGACTTTTGACTAGTAGACAGTTCTTTGAAAGTACATTCTTTTCCAGGCATTTTATATACTATATAATGGAAAAACACAGATGCAAGATGTTAAAGTCACTGTTCTACTTACAATTCCACTCCAGAATCAGTCACTAATGAAGATTTCCTCCAGAAGAAATTATCTCCCTCCTGAAACTGTCATATTCCAAGCCAAAATCTATTAATTACTTCGTTGCTTCCCTGAACTCACAGCTTCAGCCATCTTGTTGCCAATTGAACATCTACCTCTAATTTTCTCTTTACGACCCTTCTGTTCAGAATTAACTTCTCTGATGGAGAGGTTTCACTGAATCTAACCTTTCTACAGCCTCTGTATTTTCTAGTCTTTTCAATCATTTTAGCCCTACCTCCTGCTCTTCCTCTCTATGCGCTCTCCTCCCTTCTTTGATTTATCTTTTCCTCCACTTCCATATTATGACTTCTCTGTCTTTCCACACAATCACCTTCTCATCTTTAAAAGTTATTGTCAGCTCCCCCTATATGCTACACTTCCCCTTCTTTTCTAAGGCAATCATATGTGATGCATTTCCTTGCACTCTACAGCTCTTCTTGTCAATCCAGATCATAGCAGTAACAGCATCCTGTAGCTACTTATAATGTTGAGAGATGTTCCAAGTCATGTGGAACATGTTTTGAATCACTGTCCTATATAACCAAATCTCTTCTCTTTAAATTGATGAGAGCGGTCTCAAGCCTCTACAAACCTTCTCGTAATCTCAGGACAAATATTCCTTTCTTCAGTCTCTCATCATGTTCTTCTTCCTGAACTCTTGCCCTAGCTTACACCCTGGCTTTTCTGTTGCCTTTACTTTTAGCAATTCATTTGCAGGATGATTCATCTTGTTCATCCTGATGCAACCTTTCATGGGACTGGAAGAAACCTCTACTTTCAGCATCTCCTTCTCATCATGCTATTGAACAAACACTGGTGTAATGTCGATCTCTCAGATGTAGTGATCATCTATATGACTTCACGCTACCTCATGTGACCCTCGCTGATTCTGTTTCTGAAGCACATGCCTATCATTCATCAGTTCAAGCTAAAGACAACCAAATTTGAGAGGTGAAAGAGCACACAGTAATCATCCCAAAGTAGATGTTTAAGTTAACTACACTGAGCAAGCTCTAACTCTTTACTTCTGGAATTAGCAAGTACAACACCACCACTGCAATTCACACTATTCTGTCCACATTCTAGTGTCATCTTACACCCGCCACTCTTGTAGACCCACAGACAATATCATCACTAACTCCAAGATCCAGTCTTTGTTCCTCACTTCCTCAGCATAGATTTTGGATTAACTTGAGTCTGTCGACAAAACTTGTCTCTTTCTACAAAACACCCTGGAGTCCATTGACAACACTGTGACAAAGCTTTGCCTTTTCACTCTTAACTTCAACTTAGCATATTCCACTTTCTCATTTTTCTCCTTATCCATACTGTAAGATAAATAACTTACACTTGTGTTCTTCACAGCTGTAAGTGTGTATTAATTCTTAATACCATCTTGGTTAGACCTTCTTGTGATATTCTCTGCATATATGGCAAAAGGCTGCCAACTTCCCCTTACACACCGTTGTTGGCAGCAGCCTCTCTTACACATTATTTGCTTTCTCCAAACTTGTATAACTGAGTCCAGGAACATAAATTCAGCTGCATATTTTATATAGGAATTGTATACATAATATTAGCAAGTGCAGTATAATATTAACATGATGCAGTATATATTCTGAAATGTGACACATCATCATCTCTATCTACTGCCTATTATTCTCCTTAACCCTAGACAGCAAATGAATCAAGGGCTTTTCCAGAAAGTAAACTTAAAATATACAAAGGAAATCTGTGCTGGGGGGGGGGGGAATCTGTATTTTTAATAATGAAATAAAACTTGCTCAGATCACAACAATGGATTTCTAGAATAATATAAAAAATATTATAGGTCATCATATCTGAGATTGGAGATATAACCTCAGTCTGAAGAGAGCTATTAGAGTATGGGGTAATAGCTTTACTTTAGTACTATGCATGGGAAGAAACTTGCTCAAGTTTACTTGCAATCATTCAGCAACTACGCCTTTTTTCCACCATACTCCCACCCCTCCTCAAACTCCCAGGTTAAAGATTTTTCCATCACTTCCTTTATTGGCATGATGATGTGAATGAATTTTGCACACTGTTTTTGTTGGCAGCTACAAGAACCTTCTGTAAGGAACTTCATCATGTTAGTTATCTATAGTTATAACAGTTGTGCTTTACAATTTATACCCTACTGGGAAATTCCAACATAGCTTAAGAACATGCATAATGTCATAGAGGATATACAAATACAGACACTACTATGAATTGCCCAACGAAGAGTCTAAATTTCCGCAGCAGACATCATAATTCTAGCAGTCCTTACTGAGTTTAACATTATGTTTGCATATGCACTACAATTCGCTCCGCTAGACCTACGTACCACCTGTCAGGGTTCAAGAAAACCCTATTTAGTAGGCTATGGTAAATTTTCTAACTGAAGTATGAAACCCTCCAGAAAGATTCATATGCCTACAACTGAACTGGACAGGTCCACTTGCACCTTTGTCCTTATAGCATATGGATGCCCGGGAATCTGAGAACACATAAGCACGTGTATGCTGATATATAGAGAGAGCATTAAAAAAAGTATTCAAATAATTAAGCCAACAATAACCTCCCATTCAGGGTTTCACCTACACTACTTGAAATTAATCACTGTAATCGTTTTACTAGATTTTTTATAATGTTATATTTACAATACATTTTTTTCATGTAAGTGGAGACACATTAATACTGGTCAAGTAGTCACAATATTAAAACTGTATGAAGGTCTTCCACACACTTTAGATGTCTTATCTCACTCCTAGTGAACCAAAATTATAAAAAATATGAATCGACATTTGTTTAGGAACTACAGCTTTACAGCAGTTCAGTGGTTATGTTCTTTACAATAATTAAACAGAGAAGAAAAGAAGTCAAAAAGAAACAAAACGTTACTGACATTTACATGTTTCATCAACTTTTCTCAGACATGCATTTCTCTGCACATGCTGATTAGAAAGCTTTAAAAAAGCATTTCCAATGAATGTGAAAGACTAGTCATTGTTTATACAGTATTTATGTGCTGTATCACTAGATCAGCGCTATGTGTTACTATTTAACTATATAGATTAATTATTTTAGAGGTTAGTGGGTGTTGAACTGCATTTATTTTCTAAGGACTACTCTGCAACTAAGACTTTGCCACATATGCTTTGGGAATAGCTCATAGCGCTGAAAGACTGCATTAACGAACCGATGCACTACTTAACAAACAAATTTTTCAGAATCATGTTGAGTGCCTTCAATACTAACATATTTTAATACTATAAAAAATAAACATATTTTCAAATGAAAAAGTTGGAAAGGGAAACTAGGGATACAGGGCTCAGGCAACAGTCATGCTTGTCCATATACTGCAATTCTTATTGTAAAAAAGACAAATGGATAACTGATAGGCTCAAAAAGGTACACAGCTGTGATTTTCATTTGGATTCTTTCCCTTTAGTAGAGAAGCAACTTTATACTGATCATGAAAGAAGCAATCCAATGTTATTTCACAGTTTAAAAATAGTTTAAAAATAGCCCTGCTCATTTAAAAATGTTTAATATAAACACATTGTTTACACACATTATGACACTATTCCTGCAATATACAAAACATAATGATTACTTGCTAAAGTTTACCAAATTGGTACTTGAAGGAACAACAAAAAACACACATAAAATTACAGATGACCAGTACTTGTCTTATTCTCTCAGGAAAAAGCAGTAGTCACACTAATCTCTCAGCAAATATTACACACACATGCATAAACAGATCCACAAACCTACAAAAATATGTAATGACCTACAGTACAGAAAATTCTCAGTTACGCCTTCCTACTCCACTAATAAATCAATGTAATTCACTAATAAGTGATCTAAACATAGCCAGGACAGAAACAAATAAATACAATTCTAAAAAAAAAAAAAACAAAAACCCAGACACTCACCAAAAGACTGAATGCAGGTTTCAAGAAGATCTTCCAAAGTAGCCCCTTTGGCCAAGTGCCCCAACGGCACCATCGTGACCTGGGCAAGATTTGAAAGGCTGGGACAATGACTGATCTGCTTCAGCTCAAGTGCCGATTCAGGAGCAGTGCTGCATGCTTGGGCAGGTTCCCTAAAAGAAAGCACAATAGTGAAGTAAATATAAGAAGATCAAGTGGTAAATTTTACACTGCATGGGAAAGGAGGAGAGATTTAAAGGACAATTAAATCCCTGTAGCTCGGGTGTTGAGATAACCCTCCCACTTAATACGTATGCCAAAAAGACTGTTCAGTAAGTCACTTTTTTTTTTCCTGCTAAATTTGGATTGTAGAGCGCATGGTTATAGAGCTCCTTGAATGATCTGTCAAGATTACCAGAAGTCTTGTTTCCTTGTTGGGAAGTTATGATTACAGCACAAGCATAAAAGCTCCTCAAACTATGTAACAGGAATATTGTTATGCAGTAATCTACCATCACACGTTTGTGTGCCCACCAAAAGTAAAGGAGGAAAAAAAAAAAAATATAACTATGATCAAATATTACATACATTGGAAAACACCAGACTAGCTTTATTAATTTCATTTGGAAAATCACTATTAAGTAAACAAAATATCAGTGCAATTTTACAGTGGAGTATTTCACAATTATAAAAAAAATATTAATTTGCACCTGTTCTATACTATTATTTCCTACTAAGTTATTTTAAAGTTGCATACATGACTAAATTAACATCTTTAATGATAAAGGAAAAAGAGACCAAAATAAAGCACATACCTAGTCTTAGGCTTGTATTTTAGTCTTAGACTTCAAGAACGTGTATGTTTACAGATAACATTAAAGGCTGTTCACTGTTTGCATACAAGTTCATAATTCTGTATGAAATAGTAAATAGGCACATTATTATACCAATGAAAAACGCTGAAACATTTTTGCCTGCAAATAACAGGAACTAGTTCAAAATCTGACTTGAGAGTATAACCATACAGTTGACAAAAGGGCAACAACCACTGCTGTTTCAATACAACTGGGTTTATTTCAGGGGCGATTTACACTCCACAGTCTTCCTAAACAAGTGACTCCAGGATCTTTAAGATTCTATCTTAAACTTTCATACAACTTTTCTTGGAATGCTATACAAGACTATCAATAAGCTGACAGTCCTGGGAAGAAAAGGCATAGAAATTTATCTAGTGTGCGTTATTACGTACAGATAGGGAATGTAAAGACCCAAACGTCCCCGTACAGGCACTCCTGGATGAAGTTGGAAATACGCGTGCCGTACAAAGACAGACTGTACCCTACCTCATCCCAGTGAATTTCGAGCCTTATCTTAAAGTTCTGTCTCATTTGAGTGCTGGGAAAGCCACAAAACTGCCCACGATGTCACAACAACCCAACACTGACCCCAAGCCCCCACAGTTTGGGAAGACAGGGGCTTGACCCTGCAAGGGGCAGCGACCACCACCCAGCTCCTCCGAGGTGAGGCTTACAGAGGCTATGCAAAGAATGTTCTCTTCCCTTCCCCCTTTCTCTAAATTTCCCTCTTAGCTTTTGTGATCCGACTTCCTGTTCTCATACAAAAAAGGGCAGGGGCCTGAGCAGCTCTCAGGGGTTTCTTTTTGCAAGCTTCAGCCCCTCTCCGAACTTTTTTCCAGTGCCTCTTCAATACTGGGCAGAGGATCCTAGCAATGCAGTACGAATAAAGCAGGAATTAAGGTAGAAGATATTTCAGGTCTTGGCAACGGAGTGTAGAAAAACTAAAGTGTCCGCACCCCTAAAAAAACTTTACCGGGACACTGTGGCCGACTTGGCAACACCGGACAGGCAAAATTCAGCCGGTGAGACGTCTGAAACTAACCGTTCATTAGCAAGGATCGCCTCGCAGCAGTTACTTGACATGAAAAATAGATTAAAGCGGGG